GCGCCTTTTTTATGTTTGCTCCCCCTCCTCTTAGAAGCTGGCTACACCAGTGAGTCATGGGGAGAGAGGCCCTCTCGTTTATACTGAGGGAGCTCCGCTGGTCTCAGCTGCGGCAGGAAGTCATGGGGAGAGAGGCCCTCTCACAGGTAACCAGGTCCCAAAACATATAGGGCTTTTCAGATTAAAACCAACACCTTGAATTCCATCTGGAAACCCAGACAAGCCTGCGTGTGGTCAGTGGTGTGAGGTGAGTTACATGTACCAGAGTACAGGAAATTGTAACAACTTTCTACAGACCCGGCCTCAATAATTCAACTAGTAGCCAAGGCCTCCTACAAGTCCTGATGCCCCAAATGGATTTGCAGATGGGAAAAAAGGGACCACACCAGAGATTCCTGGGGAGGAAAAGAAGGGGGTCCTGTCCGTGGTGATGTTGAAGGAATCATGAAAAACCCCAAAATACTACACAGGATAAACAACTTATCACTGGAAAAACATCACAAGTTCCTACTGTCCTGGGAAGAACTGTGAGCAGCATGTGACAAGCCCATGGAGATTTCCGCATGGGAAGCAGTAACTTGCTACATCTATTACTTGTGCTTTTTTTTATTAATTATTATTATTAATAGTGTCTATAGGCCCCAACTGAGATCAGGCCCAGTGGTGCTAAGTGTCAGGAACCATGGGGCTGAATTCCACAAGTACCTAAGACACAAAGGATAGGGGGAGCAAATCCTTTGCTTATCACCATTGTTCTGAGAACAGAAATTCTTACCTATTGTTGCTGAGGCTCCAGGGGCTCCATTATCTCCTAAAGAAAGACCCTTGCATTATTCAGGGCAAATCTACACTACAAAATTAAGTCAACCTAAGTTACACTGGCATACAGTCATTGCAGTAATTGAAATCCATTTTACATGTCCATACGATGCCTCATGTTGGTGGTGTGCGTCCTCACCAGGAGCGCTTGCACCGATTTAACTGCCTGTGGGGGCATTTTGGGATGGTTTCTGAAAGGCAGCAACAGTCGATGTAAGCAACACGGTGTCTACACTGACACTGCATCGACCTAACTACATTGACTTAAGCGCTATGCATCTCACAGAGGTGGAGTTCTTAACTCGGTGTAATGGGCGAGTTACATTGGTAGTTGCACTCCATTTTAATGTAGACGCTTACAGAGTTAGGTCAACGTAAGCTGCTTTACGTCGCTCTAACTCTGTAGTGTAGACCAGGCCCCAGAGAAAACCCCCTGACCTCAGTCATCACATTAGCAGAACCAAGCAATGGCTCAATTAGGTCATTCATAATGAAGGACTTCTGGATGACTCAGTCTACTCAGGGCTTGAACTGTGACATGCCCTGTCCAGGCCGACAGGAGTTCTTTTTTGACACTTTTTTGACCTTTTTTATTAACTGAAAACAACAAAAACATTCTCAAGAACATTCTTTGCGGTTGTTTTTTTATATAACCAAAAACTTCTTTTTCAGCAAACAAAAATATCAATAACGGTTTTGATTACTTTTTAAAATTCAAAATATTTAATAAAAAAAAGAAGAAGGAAGAAACACAAGTCTTTAGAACTTCGTCAAATGCCAATCGGGGGGAGGGGGGCGGGAGAATCTAAATTTACTAGTTTTCCACATTTTTATTTTTTAGCTCATTCTACCCAGTGGTGAGGCCAGAGGCAGCCTCCACTGCTCTCCCAGGCCCTGCTAATTTAGGGATCTCACCATCTGAGCTTAGCGCAACTGCTACACTTTCAGGCCAGAAACTAACACATAATCTTTCTGAGCTGAAATTCCTCTCTCAGCATGTGGCATTGGATTTTCCAGTCACATGCTAAGTAGAAAAAAAAGTTACTACTTTGAACTTTGCACCCATCAGTGTGAACTCAAGAGATGGGGAGTTATAGGCAAAATACCAGTGCCCTGGTCTCCGAGCATGTTAGTCAAGCTGGGATGATTCATGAATCCGTGACAGAGTTCTGTTTGGGGTGGTATGAAGTATCTCAATATTTTACTGATATGGACACATTCTCTCTGTTGCCATGAATGGCACAATAAGGACCAGTGCACAGATCAGTGATAAGAATTATTTGAGTTCCCTCACCTTTCAGTCCAGTGCGGCCAGCATCTCCCTTTTCTCCTCATGAACAGGGGGAAAGATTTAGCAAGAATGTAGCTATAATTGATGGATATTTCATAACTCGGGTTCTCTCAACGATCTCAACCAACAGCAGACTGGATTTACAATGAGACAATCAAATCGTGGTGTGACCTTGCACTCCAAATGTTTTATGGAAATATGCTTATAAGTGTGAATATGATGTAACTGGAATATGCTTTATGCAAAAGGTCTCTTGTAAGGTATCATAACAAAGGTTATAAAGTACTGAATGTATTCCTCCTATTTGTATGCATGTATCATTCTTGTATCTGAAACTAAAAATATGAAGTATAACTCTGAGGTCCTATTGTAATTATGCAAAGTGTGGGTCATTAATGGTGGTTTAGAATCGATGGCTCCCATTGACTAGGACAATTAGTTGTAAATGGTTTATTTACCTGCAAGCCTTCCTGTGTATGTGTGGGCCAATCCAGGAAGAATGGAGACTAGGGGGTCTTACAGTAACATATGACCATGTCACATGATATTGGAATCCATCTTAATCCTTGTATTTTTCCATTGATGAGGCGGGGATGGGGACAAGCACAGACAAAAGATTCCCGCCTTGTGCCAAAGCTATAAAAGGGGGTGGAGCAGGACAAAAGGGGCTGGCCAGTCATGAGAAAACCCCTGCTTACCACCTGAGATGTCTGCTGGATCTAACAAAGACTGTACCGGGGAAAGGATTTGGCCCAGACTAGGAAGAAGTCTAGTCTGTGAAAGAAGCTTACTGGAACATCTTTGGGGGTGAGATATTCCCTGTAATCAGTTTCTTAATGTATTAGGCTTAGACTTGCATGTTTTGTTTTATTTTGCTTTGTGACTTTGATTTGGCAGTTATTACTTGAAACCACTTGAATCCTACTTTTTATACTTAATAAAATCACTTGGATCCCTTGGGAGCTGGGTGTCTGGGTGCTGGAGACAGATAACCTGCTGAGCTGTTTTTAGTTAAAGTCTGCAGCTTTGGGGGCGTGGCCCAGATCCTGGGCCTGTGTTGCAGCAGGCTAGCATGTCTGTCTCAACAAGGCAGGGTTCTGGAGTCCCAAGCTGACAAGGAAAATGGGCTCAGAGGTAATCAGCACATCAGGTGACAGTCCCAAGGGGATCTCTGTGACCGAACCCATCACACCTGGATCCAAATACCCCTAAACCTTGTGAAGTGAAAGGAATGGAAGTTAGATCCAGATCCATATTTTGCAAATGACTAAAATCAACCTGGATCCAATCCACTCCCAATGGGGTGTTTAGAGTCTAGTCCTGGTTTTGAATTTTGCAGCTTGAGTCCATCTCTAATTTTGGCAAACATGCCATGAAGTGAAGATGGGAATGTGTTTAACCCTCTACTATATTTTAATCACATACTGTACCGTACAGAGAGAACAAAGTTCCCTGCTTTTTATTACTTTACCTTTCATCCCAGCAGGTCCCACTTTTCCAGGAATCCCCTGAGCTCCCCGTTCTCATAATAAATAATTTTAAAAAAAATCCCTCAGATTAAACATTTGACCCTTATGATTAGAGAATCTGTTTTTAGGACTCGCTCTGAAACTCCCCAATAGCCCAGGTTTCATCCCAACCCAAATCCAAAATTTACACATTAGTGTGAGACCAAAAGGAAAACAATTTTAAGAAATGTCATTGGCAAACTGCCATCTTCAGCTCACCATGGGGTCCTTACTCAGACAAAACTCCCTTTGACCTCCCGGGCTCCCATATTCCATGCTCGCTGTCAAAAAACTTGAAAGTAAAATTATTTTGTCTGGCCTTTGAGTGTCCACTGCCAAGACAAAAATGAAAGATCCACTTGAGTACTTGCTATTTCCATCAGTGAGTATCTTCTTCACCACCACCCTTTTCTCGGTGGAAATATTTATGTTTAGGCTTAGGAGGATTAGATTTTAGTTGGTAAATGTCACTCCATGTCAATTTCACTGTACACACAGAAACCGATGAAAAAATATTTCCATTGATAATAATCAAAATGTAAAGATCAGCAACATAAGAAAAATGCAGTTTGAAACTTAGAGTTTGATTTGAAGATATTTACCTTTGTATATTGTGACATGTGATGGTGACAGTTTGTGTGTTAATGGTTATAAAGCTTTAACTTTTTGAATCTCGGTGTCTACTGTCATTAAATAATTATTGCCTGACCCTCCAATTGTTTGATCCTCCATAATTTCCTGCAACTGTAAAAATTTAAATTGCAAAAAATTGAAAAAAGTGCTTAAAATAAATAGTATCCCTCCCACCCCCCCAAAAAAATAAAAAAATAAAAATTGGATCTGCCAAGCCTATTTAGGTTTTAAAAGGAGTGTAGACCATGAGTGGAGCATCATGATGGAGATCTCTCAGTCCTGACAGTGAACAATGGAGAGAAAACAGACAGTTTCAGAGCAGGGTTATTATACATCTGTAGCCCCACAGTAGAGCTGGTGAGATGTGTCATGTGACCACTGAATTTCAGGCAGCTTTTTTATGATGGAGTCTTGCATGGATCTCCAAAGGCTGAACAATTTTGACATAAGTAATTCATTATTTCTGCCTTCCCCACTGAAAGCTGATTCTCATTCAGCACCTGGGAACATACCTTTCATTCCCGCAACTCCGGGTTCTCCTTTGGGACCTGCAGCTCCAGGAATCCCAGGGCAGCCCTGGAGAACGGTAAGTTTTTCAGAACCACTGAGACCCACTATTCTTACATCTAGAGAAAGAAATAAAGCAATAAATGATCTTGGTGAGAGTAATGGGAGCTGAAATATTCCACAAATTTCAGGCAATCAAGCAGCTCTGAATCACAATCTGCAGATCTCAATTGTTGGCTGTAAATATAGACAGATTCACCCTCCATTTTAGGAATGAAGAGAATACGATTTAAAACAATCGCAAAGATGGTAACATAGGAACCTAATTTATTTTAAAAACCACCTTAAATACTTAGCTAGAGATAATCTGGGTGGTTCTTTATCTGCTAGAAAGCTACATCCTTTCGAAAATTGCCATGATGATTTGTTTTTTAAACTCACTCATTTCTTGGTATAATCAAATATTCTGGTTCCTTTTAATTTATATCTGTGGCAGCGTTTTTATGAGGTTGATTGGATATTTTGACAATTTGTTTTAGCTATTATCTATTTGTTTACTGGTCAATGCTATTTTAGAAATAATAGTCTCTAGATCTGTATTTGTTCGGCTCTGAGGATCCGAGCACCTTAGAAACAAACCTTTTAAATTTGCATTAGTATTAACTGAAAAGCTGGAGTGACCCTGCATGCCACTGGTGCAACAAGCACCAGGCACGTTAGGGCAAACTGAGAAATGGAGATTCTACATTTAAAATAATAACAGTGAGAAAATTTGGACCTTTACTGGGATTTACTGGGGGGGAGGGATAGCTCAGTGGTTTGAGCATTGGCCTACTAAACCCAGCATTGTGAGTTCAATCCTTGAGGGGGCCACTTGGGGATCTGAGGCAAAATCAGTACTTGGTCCTGCTAGTGAAGGCAGGGGGCTGAACTTGATGACCTGTCAAGGTCCCTTCCAGTTCTAGGAGATGGGATATCTTTATTTATTATTAAGTGGAACACCTTAGCAGTACCAGGGTTGTGTGTGTGTGCGCACGCGTGCACACACACGTGTGCACGCACTTGTGAATTTTAATACAAACAGGACATTGTCAGCACTCAAAACTCCATATTCATCCCAGTGCTCCCAACAGTGTTGGAGAAACTGGCTACCAATGCAAAGCGTTGCTGTGTGGGACAGCACACAGACTGGCTTGAGAGGGACTAATGCATGGCATGAACATGCTATTATATGGATTATCCAGAGAGAAAAACTGTTGTCGGAATAGCTCTGGGCGGACACTGAAAATAACCTCAGTACAAGAATATCAATTTTCCTACAGGTCTCCTGTCACGTGACAGTTCCACAGCTCCGCCTTCTCCCCCCACCCTCCCAGGTCTGTTACTTATCATACAAGAGACCAACAGCAACAGAGGGAAGTTGGAAGCTTTAAAAGAAGTCTGCAAAATGCTTTTTTCCTCCATGTGTATTTATTCTTGACAAAATAATTGTAAGGAAACAACAGACCTGTTTACTGCAGGTGAATCCAACAGTTGCTACGTTTGCATGGTACCACTTGGTTAGAACCATTGTTAATTATTATTGTTCATTGCTAATACACTGATGCCTAGGGGCCTCAATCAAGGTCAAGACCCTACCGTGCTGTACAGACACACAGTAAGAATCAGTTCCTGCCCTAAAAAGCTTAGACTCTGTATAGGCAAGAGACACACAGAGCGGGAGAAAGGGAGCATTATAACCATTGAAGAAACGCTGACAAGGTTTGTATCTCACTCACCTGGGCAGGTGTCTTTATCTGCACAAACCACTGCGGTTATGCAGAGTAAAGAGAGGAGGGTTTTCTGGGCAGCTCTTCCCATGGTTGATGCTGGTCTCTGCAATGGCAGCTCCACGCATCTTCTCTTCCCCTTCTCTTCTTTCGAGTTTCGTCACCTGCAGCTCTGAACAAGCAATAAAGCACAGATGCAATCTCCACCTCGTCATACTCTATTTCTCAATTGTGTGGCTAGTTTCTCCACTGTGGCTCTTCACAAGTTCTGAGGTGAGATTTTCACAGTATCAAACCCATAGTAACTCCTCTGTTTAATATGCCTGGATTTCCTTCAGGAGACAGTGTCACAGATTGCTCTTGCAGAGCAAAGTTTCTCCAGGTGGTGACCCATTTTTACAAAACATGATGTAAAATGCCTAAACCTGATGGACTGAATGTTAAACCCTCAAAGTTACAAATCCACCTTTCATATTATTCATATTCCTGAGGCCAAAGAATCAAACTGACTTTAACTGAAGGAACTTCTTGGTATCACATCACTATCTTTCATCAGTTGCACCAGAGCTCAGAAAGAAGCAGTTGTAGATTTACTCTAGTCTGACTAAGCGGTTCTCAACATTTGAGGTCCAAGATACTGTTACTCAAGGGACTCCCAACTTTAGAAACAAAACAAATCCGAATATAAAATTTGATTCTAATATACTCAGAGAACCTAGATTTGCAGATCCAACCCCACAAAGTCTGCAGGTATTTTTAATCTGGATCCAGTCCAGAATTTTGAGCCTGAGCCCCTCTCTCAGTATTTATTAACTGAATACTGTTACATATTCTCCCCCTCCCCCCAGATTAACAGAGAGCTTGGAGATATTCTGTCTTCCTCTGCAGCCACAGGTCATGTGCTAGGCTCACCTGGGCAGATCTCATTTAATCCATTCCCGCCATTGCAGGGATCTCAGCTACTGGTGCCCCTTGAACCCTCCTGTTCTCTGCCTGTTGTACGCAATAGTCTCCTGAGGGCTGTAATACTTTGGTCTAATTCTGGTAGTTGGGCTTGGGTGTGGGGGTGGTTGGGTAGCATTTAGTGGCTGTGATATACAGGAGGGCAGACTAGATCTGGTGGTCCCTTCTGGTCTTAAACTCTATGATTGGAGTAGATCAATGTGATGAGTGCACTCCTCCCAATATGACCCCTGCCCATTCTGGGTAGAAGTGAAGCTGTAGGGGGGGGGGAAATCATCTCCCTTTTGAAGTGAGACAAATCACATTTTTACTCCTGGGGGAATTCTGCACCACTGCGCATGTGCAGAATTCATGTCCCATTCAGATTTTTTTTCTCCACAAAAAATAAATTCTGCCAGAGAAAAGTGTTGCAGTTATGCCTTTCGCCCACCAAGGTCTGCAATTACTTCCCTCTCCCTCAGCTCTTTCATTACCCCTGACTCCTGAAGCCTTTGCACTGCTTCGGAGGGGTGTGGGAAATATTAATATGCATAGTAAGGGATCTATTTGTCAAAAAACATTTCCTGAATCTTTTTTGTTGTCTGTATTGTTACAGACATACTTGTTGATAGGTATTTTGAAATAAATTACCAAAATAATTGAAACTGGCGTGATTATAGCGTTACTTTGATAAATAAATCATGCAGAATTTTAAAATATTGTGCACAGAATTTTTATTTTTTGGCGCAGAATTCCCCCAGGAGTAACATTTTCTATGCTGTTGGCAAACTCCAGCATTCTCCGTATGCTCTCCACAGAAAGGAGGGATGGTCCTGTGGTTAGGGCACTAGGCTGAGACTCAGGAAACCTCTGTTAAATTGCCTGCTCCACCACAGACTTCCTGTGTGACCTTGAGCAAATCACTCAGTCTCTCTGAGCCTCAGTTACCTGCCTGTGAAATGGGGATAACAGCAACGCCCTGCCTCACAGGGGTGTGTGAGGACAAGCAAAGTAAAGATTGTAAGATGCTCCAATACTAGGGTGATGGGGGCCATATAAGTACCTAATATGGATAACTGCAAAGCAAAAACCCCCATCGAAAAACAGCCAAGCATATAACTGACCCACACACTGAAAATTTTAAATTTTCACTGTGACATACTTTAGAAAAATGAAAGAATTTTGTCCACATTTCGCAGAAGTAACTTTTGAGCAAGGGACCCTGCCTTAGCCTCCCCGCCAGCTACGTTGACTTCAGTGGGAGGCAAGTCGACATATTAAATTACTAGACTGAGACCCTTTTGTTGCTTGTTGTTTCATCATCATGGGAATACTTGACTCGTGGCATCAAGGAGTTTAGCATTTGGCCCCATGCAAAGATATAAACTACAGTACTTAGCCCAGTGCTAACCAGATCTCGGGGGCACCCAGCATATTAACTGATGCAAGGAAAGGTCAAGCTGACCCATACTTTTTCACGAAGTACAGTAGCACTTGCTGGCCCACCATTATATTGCTTCATAAAAGTGAAGTCATTTCATATTTTTGGCTGGGGACATTTTTGTTGTCTGAGTGTCACAATATATTAAAAGGACACGGACCATTTGAAATGTGCTCAGTTCTGTACTGCCAACCTCATGTGTGAAAAAAAATTATGAGTCAAGGCCCCAAAACCCATGAGACTTTTCAAGCCAATCATGCAACTTCTTTACAAAAATACATTGGGGGGGTCTTTTTATTTGTGTTTTGAGACTTTAGGGTTCACATTTTTGGAGCTTTTCTCTGCAAATGTGAGGGCCAGAAACTTATTCTTTTATAAAAATTAACGCAGACATCTCATGTGATGGTAGGACTCCAGAAGCTGAGCCTGTAAGAGAAACACCAGATATCACAAGACTCAAGATAAAATTGAGAGAATTGGCCACACTGTCAGTTAAATAAAAACGAACCAGAAGTAGGTAGTATCAACCCATATAAGCACCTGTGAAGCCCCTCTGGAAATTGTTGTAATTTTACAGTTGCTCTGTCCCAGTTTTTAAAATCTCTATCTCCCCAGTTTCAGTGTGAAAGACTCACAGACAACAAGGAAACTGATTAACTAGCGGCACCTCTGTACTCAGAGTGCTGTCAAATGCACAGAGTAAACAGGGAAAGAAACATTTCTTTTCCTTTGAATGCCTTGCAGCTAGAGCGGAGGATAAATATGTTAAAGATGATGAGGGGCTCAGATACTACAGTAACAGAGACCATAGAGGTAGAGTGCTGGGACTGGAACTGGAGCGGGATAGTTTTGGAGACCTGGACTTCAAAAGGGCCTTTACGGAACTCTGTGCTGAGTTTGCCCCACCCCAGAACACCAGAGTGAGACCAGGTCACCCTTGGCCCACTCCCTCCTGCACTCAATACACCCCTCCCGCATTTGGCCCAGCCATGCTCCACCTCTGCTCTGCCCATGGCCTGCCTGAACCCGGGGCTACTGGAGCAGCCATGTAAGAGGGGCAACGTCAGTTCTGTGCCTAGAGCACCCCTGCACTGGGCATAGTCCACCGGGGATGCCTTGTGTCTCCTTCATCCCAGCCTAACAGAGAGGGGCTGCAGCTGAATGATGAATCCAGCCCTGGATCTGCTACCTTAGAACAGGTTTCCTTTGCCCTGCGAACATTCATTTCCAATTGATTTAGGACAACGCTAGCAACAGTCAAGCTACAAGCAAACAAACTAAAGCCGCAGCTCTTTAAACTGCACCTGCTTTTCCTTTATCAAACGGACTTCAGAAAGATCTGGAAATGTAATACTAAGCCAGCTCCCCAGCTCAGTGAGAGGGCGATCAGCCAACACCTATTAACGCATGCCTCCGACAGTGAAGCAATAGCATTGCTTCACCACAGAGGCAAATGCAAGAGGATGCAGGCCAGTGCCGCCATCTCCTCCCCTAAGCCCACGCATACTGCTGGACATCCTGTCGCTCCCACACACCCTGAGCATCCACAAATGCTTGTCTGCTGTATCCGCCAGGCTCCGAGTCTGGGTATTACCGTGAGGAGAGCCACGGAGACTAGCACGGAGAGGAGCGGGGCAGACAGACAGGAATACATGAGCACCTTCTGGTTCCCTGGCCTGATCAGCACGAGCACCTATTGGCTTATGCTAGATCAGGGGTGGCCAACCTGAGCCTGAGAAGGAGCCAGAATTTACCAATTGCCAAAGAGCCACAGTAATACATCAGCAGCCCCCCTATAAGCTCCCCCCCCCGCCCACCACCTGCCTACTGGCAGCCCCGCCAATCAGCACCTCCCCGTCCCTCCCCGTGCCTCCTGCCTGCCGCGATCAGCTATTTCACAGTGTACAGGAGGCTCTGGGATGGAGGGGGG